CCGGAAACACTGATATAACCTGCGCTGTCTTTGCACGTTGATGGAGGACGGGCTGTCCCACTGGTCAGACCAGTGCTGTACTTAGGGTCTGCTTTGTATTTGTTTGGTTTGCCCTGCAGTTTATGAGACACGTATTTAAACAGAGTAACAGAAAAAAGCAGATAAACACTCTGCACACACTCCTGCAGACGAGAGAGATGTTCTTCCTGCAGATTGTGACACAACTCTGCGTTTTGAACTTTGGTGCTGTGGAAGAAGCGACGCCCTGTTTATCCAGGAACATGGATGTGAGTTCAGCTGGTTATTGTGGAGATCAGTTCTGCGTGTGGGTGACTGGAGAGGAGCAGAGGAGGAAAATCCCTTGTAAAGTAAAGTAAATGGGATTTACTGTTTAGTTTTTTGCTGTGTTATCGAATTGGTATTGAGAATCGTGGAAATGTCATGATATCGGTATCGACTACTTAAATGTTGGTATTCTGACATCCCTACTTGCTGCACTAACTACAAGACTCCACAGCGAAAAAACACATGAGGTGGGTGAGATGCTCTGTAATTAAAAGAAGAGGAGGTACGTTACATTGACTGAGGGTGCAGAGTTCCGATGGTCCATCTTCACATGTAGGTGTAGGTGTCAGCCCAATACATGCAGGGCTATCCGTACACCTACAGACTTCTCTAAAGAGCTGAATGGATGTTTAACTTTTCACTTAGAGCCCACTGGAGTGAGCTAACCTGCTACAGACGATCCTACATTGCTGTGCAGATGCACTGCAAAGGGCTCGATAGTCCTCAAAGTTCTCTCCCTCTTCCTCCCTCTCATGCCTTCTCCGTTGATTAATTTGTTAGCTGTGACCCCTCCTCACAGTTGCATCACACTGCCAGATGGACAGTTCCACAGATGGATGGATCAGTGGAATGATGCAGTGTGGATTTTCCTGGCAAAACGAAATATCCCATCAAAGCCTGGAATGCTAAGACTTGCTCTGTCTCTTTCCCTCTGCCGCAGAGTGTGTCTCCCTCATTATTTCCTCTCTTTACTCCTCTTTGTCCATACTAAAATAGCCCCACCTCTGTAAAGTCTATTAGCAGCCTAAGGTAAGCCTCTTAGGAGAGACTCTTGCTCTCTTGGAGCACGGGACGCCAGTGACACTCGGTAAGACCAAATCACAATAACACACTGCAGGTAGGACTTAAGACTGGATATATCATTAAAGAAAAGAGGATTGGGCAAGATAGAGAGGTGAGTTCTGATAGAAAGTAAAATCCACAAACTGTATGTTTGACAACAATCTCCACAAGACACTACTGGGAGGTGTTAAGTGGTTAAACATTACTTGAATGATTTAGAGAAAGATGTCCTGTTAAATGAGATTCATACAGATCCTGCATCCATGTGTTCTGACATGATTAGAAACTACATTTAGTCCTGACATTACCAAGTTTGGCTCCTGTTACACATCAAAACATATGTGTTTCCTAATATTGTAGTTCTCTACTAACTTAAATTTGTGTTAAGATTAAAGGTGTCTGAATGATGCTTTGCATTTGGCTTGGTCTGTCCTTCCTGCTTGAAAGGACCAGGAAGCACAGGATCAACTAGAAGGACGACTGGAGAACGCACACTTCTGCCAAAGCTAATGCCCTATCTCGCAATGTCAAAGCAGTGTTTCCCATTAATTATATTCACTGTGGCAGGCTGTCATAATAACTCATAGTAACTCCACAGTTTCATAATAAACCAAAACATCTTTTAGACTTCGCATAATAACATAATAGTCTATGTATCTGTCACTCAGAATTTGTTGTGCATTAGAGTGACATTTGCATGTACAATACATGCACCCCTGCCACCCACAGATTAAATAAATTATGAGGGGCTGTGGATTTGCCCATTTAATCAGATCCACACCTAAATTTCATGGGTCTTTCCTGACCAACCTTGCAGAAGGCAGGATGTAGTTCTCTCTCAATACCTCGTCCATCCATCCATCTCTATACCTAATTATCCCGTGCAAGTCTACCCCAGCTCACTTTGTTTCTGCTGCTTTGAAATGGGCCATGCATTTCTGAGCATTCACAAATATATTCACAATCCATGTGTTCATCTTTGCCAGCCTACTTTTAAACAAAGTATTCTCTCTTGCCTTGAGAGCAGTCAGTCAACCAGTGCATCAGTCCGTTACCTACGCAGCCAACCAGTCAGTCACACAGCTCATCTTTTGAAGTGTGTGTCCTCTCAACCCACTTTTCCTGTCTCACTGGGTGTCACGTGTTGTTAGACCAAGAGCTGAGCAACAGATTGGCAGTCCCATTAGATTTGCTTCATTAGAGCACAGCCTGTTCCTCGAAGATAATGCCTTATATTCCGCAAAATCACATATTACAGTAAGTTTTTGGCAAAAAAATAATGCTTATTTGATACCGATAACTGACACACTTACGCATAATTTACTAGGCAAGTTGTTTTCTGTAATACAATTCATTTGAATGTATCAGGGATATCCCAAAGAACTGCAGGTCTTTACAAAATCATGCTATCTTAATGACAGTTCCTTTTAAAAAGATCATGCTTGTCTCATTCAAAGTCTGGCATGCCATTCACACCAAATTTCAACATAAAAATTAGAAGCAGGATTCTAATAACCAAATAAATGTCAGTAGGATAGACACTCCACTCTAAAAATTATAGTTTTGTTAAAAAAATGGTTTCCTTTGCTCTGGTCTATCAACGTCTCACCTTGGTAGTGAGGATACAGATGCAGTCCATCCTTACCAGTCCGACCGGCAAACTTTCACCCAAACATCATCCAGCTGCAACTTTCCTCTTTCGCCACTAAGTCGCTTGTTGCTGTTGGCAACATCCCCCTGTCGTCTTGTGTATTTTTGTCTCCTCCTTTTCCTCTGATCGCTCAGCTTCTCCCTCCTCCCTTCCTCGCGTCCTCTCTACCTGTCCTTTCACCGGAGCAGCCAGAGAGGACTTCTCAGTTAAATCACAGGCCGACTCGGAAACATGGCAGCTGGCCCGGTGCACCTCCACCCACCCTCTTGTTATCCAGCTGCTGTCTTCGTTCTATGGCAGCTGGACGCCACATTTTGACCTCAAAGAGTGCATTGCTCGGAATGTGTAACCTCCCAGAACACACTCAGCACAAAAAAAAAAACGGCAGACATGAAGAGGCAGGAGTAGAAATTCTATACACCCAGATGCACAGGAAAACACTCACACAGACAGATGTGTATACACAGATATAAGCACACACAAGTACATACTGCGCACACTCCACTCTGCTGTTTTATCAGGTCAGTCAGTGTTTGGCAGGAGTGGGGGTTAGACTGAATGAATAGTAACTACGATATAGCGATGGATGCTCTACTTTCAAATTGGACTGTGGGTATTGGGGAAGTTAGAGCTCCATATGCGCCCTGAAGCTCCACAGAGATGGGATTATGCTAGCTCGGGATATAGGGCTTTTTTTGGAAAGATGCTAACTCAAATCACTACTGTTGCATTTTAAACATTTCAAAATAACACACTCTTATTGACAGATTATTGAGGAAAGTTTGGTAGATAGCAAATCCACATGTCCATGAGTAAATCAGTGGAATTATTTTCGAAATTGTATTACAGTATTATATGATAAACAACTATTGTAGGACTTTTGTCCAAAAATGAGTGTTGTTGATGCTTTTAAATTCAAGGGGTGGGATATACTTAGGGGAGCAAAATGCAAACAGTCGTGATTTTGTTGAGTGGCTCGCTGTCCCTCGCAGTGATGGTGCAGGTAGTTGATTGGCCGATGTGTCAAGTGATTTCTAGTAAGGGACACAAACAGCTCCTCAAATTGTTTTTGCTGTGTTTTGATGGCATACAGCAGTATGCTTGCAAAATTGGTGTTTTTGACCATAGCCCATGTTTTTTCAGAGAAACACTCAATAACAGGTTCCGTGTTTTCGGTGTGGTTTTTTCCTGCCCTGTATATCTTATAGATTACCTTCCTCACTAGCTTCACAACGGTTGCTTTTCTTATATTCTTTGCATACTCTGAGATATGCACATCCTCGGCATCCCCCACATCCTTGGAATTCACCACATCCCTGGCATCCCCCACATCATCTGCATCACGTGCACACTACACAGGTTTCACCACAGGTGTTTCCCAAAGCAGTCTGTCCAGTAAAGTCTGTCTCAACTTTCACTTTGAATCCGAACCTGAATGTCAAGCCACCAACTCATCAGTCCTAAGCAAGACTGCAGTTTCTTGCATGTGTAAGCATACTTCTCAGCATTTGAGCCATGAGCTGTTTGCGTAGAGGACATGACATAGAAATATTTGGAAACCCGTTCTTATTAGCTGCCATTGTTCGAAGGTAATCCTTCGAAAAAATGACAAGGCCAGAGAACCGGTATAATCGAATTTGTCCATTGGTTATTAGTTAATGCGTTGTTTTCTGTAGCTCTGTTGTAGTAACATAAATGAAATGTGTGGTGTGATGTGTGGGTATATTAAGGATCTGGCACATCATAGGAAAAAAGACACATCATAGGAAAAGGTGGTGGAACACAGTGAAAGTAAACTTCTGGAGCTTAAACTAAATCACATTATCCTAGTCAGCATGGTGAGGAAGATAGACAAGATTTATCCAGCCCTATAGCTCTGACAAAAATGCTAATGTATGTATTTTCCTTATTGAAACACAGTCATGGCAGAATCTACTGTATGTATCACATTGTCATGCCAATACCGCAGCACCACAGGGTTTCACCATTAATTTATATACTACCTGACAGATGCCAGTAAAATAAATATGAATATGAAAACTACTACCAACAACAACAAACAAGCTCTCTTCAGCAAAAAAATCAGCAACCAGGAGAGAAAAATCCTTTTTGTTGTGCATACAATTAAAACAATCTGTCCTTCACTCTGCCATTGACTGTAGGCACATTTTGTAGAGGTGTAAACTCGTGTACCAACACCAAACAACCAGATATTTCCTACCTTGATGGGGGTCAGAGGGCTTGTCAGTGGGCTTGGCCTGGGGCTGGCTGGACCATGACTGGGGCTTGGGGAGGTGATTTTTACTGCCCCGGGGCTGGAACAGAGATCAGAGAGTGTCTGAAGGTGAACTCTGAAAACTTTCCACAACAGATGTGTTAAACTGGACCAAACCTCTCCTGAAATGTATAATCAAGTTGCAAAAGGTTACATGACATACCTCAAATGAGGTCCTGTAGTTAAAGGCCTGGGAGGAGCTGTGGGGCTGAGGTTGCTGAAGCTAAATATCCCCTGGTTGGGGCTGGTTGGACTCGTGTTGGGAGTGAATTTGCCTGATCCTGGGTCCTTGCTAAGAGCTGTAGAGATGACTGCAGTGTCTTTGACTCTGTTCAGACCTGGGCTGGTGCTGGGAGTGGGGCCAGTGGGGGTGAGTTTGTCCGGAGTGGTTGGAGACACAAGGCCCTGGATGGTGCTGGAGATGAGGGCTGAGACCGTCACCAGTTTGAGGTCAGGAGAGGCAGGAAGGATTTGTGGATTTTCAGAGATGTTGGAGTTTTCTGAAGAGGCACCAGAGTTGGTGGGAGTGAGAAGTCGCTTTGTTCCATTCAGTGATTCTGAAAGAGGTGTTTTTATGGAGCCAGTGGGGGTTCCTACTCCATTCACTCCAGCAGCAGGAGGAGATGAGGGTTTAGAGGTTTCTGCTGTCGAGGATTTAGATGCTCCAGACTGGACAGGAGGAAGAGGAGCACGGTATTTGACTTTGGCCTGCTGTGACTGAGGTGATCCGGGCTGTGTTGTTGGGGAATATCTCGGTGTTCCAGGGATCGGAGGGGCAGGTTGATGCTTGATTGACCTAGGTTTGGGGGTTAAGGGTTTTGGCTGAGCTGATTCACTAGAAGCCGGGGGGCTCGGGGGTGCAGAGGAGGCCTGTGGCTGATCAGGGATTTGTGCTGGCAGGTTAGAGGCAGCAGGGAGGCCCCCTGGACCAGCCGCCTGCTCCACAGAACACTTGCTGTCTGCGAGGATGCTCAACTCATAGTACTCCTGGATATCTGGAAGTAGAAAAAAAAAACATAAAAAACACAAGGAGTGACTGAAGGGTTCAGCGGATTGATAAATTAAGTTTTGACAAAATGACGATAATAGACTGATAGATTAACAAATTATCAATCTAATAATGAAAACAACACTTGTTCTTTCAAGCCAGTCTTCACATTATGGTGCACAGTTTATACACTAGTGGCCTCTAGTGGCAGCACAGGGATACTTCCACCACAGTATAGTGACCCAGGTTCCTCACTTCTGAAGAGGAACAGTTCATTCTGCTGTTGTTTACCTTTTAATCATTAATCACACTGAGCAACAGAGGTTCCCATCCTCTCCCATGTCATCAAGACTGACAGGCAATTCTACACTGAATATACACATGGTTTGCGACCTCAGTAAAGTTTGGTGGTCATTCAAGAGATAATGAAGAGGAATGAAAATTAACATGCAGACAAAAGACAGAGATGTTCCAAAATATGACTTTGATATCAAAAACCACTCGGTTAAAGGTCAAAGTTGTGTTCAAAACAGGAAGTCAGTGTCATGTTCAGTGAAAAACACACACGTGCACACACAAAACAAAGACGTGTTAGTGAAACAGCTACAGGTGTGGGCGTGGTGCAGGTGGGACCAGTGACTAAGAACCAGTTTGCTGTGTTACACATTTCTGCAAAGAAACATGTGGTCTGTGTTCTCCTTCAAATAAAAAACAGCTCAACACAACCAGACCGAACTAGTTAAACACAGGTTGTTAACTGTTGGGAGGAATTAATAAAAACTACATGTACACACACAGGACCCTGTGAGAGGACGAAAAGCTACTGAAAAAGCTACTGCTACTACTTAAAGCAGTGCTCCGTTCCATCGCCTATTATTCTGCCTACTGGCTTACTAGTCTCGCTGGATAAAAACACACCCAACTTGCGGATTATTCTTTTGTTTGGCATGGTTTTTAGATAACATAACCAAATATTACATGTGGAGAACTGCTAACTGAAACTTATTTCCATTAACAATGTCCCAATAGTGAAAAATAAACAAACACCAAAAATACAATCAGTAAGATTCCCTCTGTATGGCTAAAATTTACTTGGATAAGAAAAGGTCAAGAACACTTTTGCTTGACATTTCACTTAAAGAATCAACTTTCACCTTTTAAAGATGTTAAATCCAAGTAAGAATGGGAACATCAGTGAGCTTGACGGCGCTCAAGATCTAAAGACAGTGCTGAGATTGACAGGTATTACCATACTATACTGTAAAAATGCGTTAATAGAGATAAACTGTGACTGGCTGAGGATATAGACAAACATATTCTTACCGAGCAGAGCGCTGAAGAGCTGACTTTGGAAGACACTGATGACTCTGTCCAGAGACTGCTGGAGCTGGTGGTCTTCCTCCCTGTGGCCCTGTTTGGTATGATTCTGGTCCTGCTGCCTCTGATCCAGTTTAACCCGGTACTGCTGCAGCAGCTCCAGCGCTCGCTGAGCATCTGAATACAACATAAATACAAGTTTAAACAAGACCCATGAAGAGAAAATGAAAGGCAACATGCTCTAGGTACTCTGAAGCAGATCAATGAGTTTAGAAACTGTAAATGAAATGTTTTAAATGTGTGATGTTGGGGATTATCAAGCGGTGGCTGGTTGAGACCTCCCAGGGTCTTGAAAACCACCTGTCTGTGAGTGAGTGTGGATACAGGTGTCAGCAGTCTGTCGCTGGCCTGTTGCTCTTCTCATTATTATTCTGGAATGTGCTTCCTTTACTATTTCTGTCTACAGTGTTTTGCATAAATGTTGAACCACCAATGTATTGGCATTTAAAAATTTAAGGTAAATGAAATGCCCTATAAATCATCTTTAAGTCACTTTAATAAGAGTTATTTTAGGGTAAACTTTGAGCACTGACCCAGTTCATGCCCTCCTACTGTATTTATCTGCACTATAACTACCATAAAGTTTTATCACCATGTATTTAGTACCATGGGCATAAGGGCAGAAGGGTTTATGGTGTAAAAGAAAGGTTGCAAACCGCATTCCAGGCTCCATGGCACTCAAGTGAACAGCTGATTAAAGCAAGGACTGACTCCTTTCATGTGTGGAAGAGTTCAAGCCAACTGGCAGTCAAATGTGTGTTGATTTAAATAATATTTACTTATCCACTTTAGCCACATTAATCATGAAGAACGTGTCTTCATATAGGAATCAACTGCAGCAATATTGCTGATGTGACAATTAAAAATAATGTTATCCGTCCATACGTTAATGTGGAAGCACTTTTCTGCAGGTGGAAGAAAAAAAGAAGAGCAATAGCTTGATATTATATATTAAACTCATTATAATGAGGATTTTTTCAACACAAGCAGCTGCAAACCAGTAAAAGTATATTTAAAAAAAAAAATCAAATGTGCTATTTTGTTTGCCGAATTTACCCCAAAGTCTGAATTGTTAGGAAAAACCTTTACATTTGTATCTACAAGTTCTGTTTGTAGCACCACAACACAATTACACGTTAAATTGATGGTTTTGTGCAGAAGTTTGGGCTTCGATACATATCACTGCAGACCAGCAGCTGCAAACCAATACAATTTGACAATAACAATGGTTATTTTGTGGATAATGAATTAGCCGAATTTACACCCAAATCGGAACAACAAATAAAATCTCTTATTTTATCATCTACAAGTTGTGTGTGTGGAATATATAAACAATTACTTGTTAAATTGATGGTTTTGTGCGGACGTTTGGGCAGACAAGCAGCTGCAAACCAATACAAATAGATAAAAATAAACCAAAATAAGCTGTTTTGTAGATCGTTTTTAAGCCGAATTTATCCCAAGGTTTGAAATGTTAATAAAAAGTATTATATTGAGATGTAGAACGTGTGTATATAGCACAAATAAACTATTACACATCAAATTGCCGGTTTTGTGGTGAAGTTTCGTTTTTCGATAACTTGGAGAGGAGCGCCTCGCGGATCAGCGCGAGCTCTTAGAGACAAACTGGTTTGTTCGGTGTATTAACACGATCAAACTCAATACACACAGGTTATCAGACAAATGGATCAAAATAAAGATGATAGATATTTTTAAAAGGCACTTTTTTTTTACCTTTCTGTCGCACTGGCATCGTGACGCGCACAGACGTCCTCCTCTCTCCGGGCTCAGTGTGTGTGTGTGTGTGTG